TTTGCACCAACAGCTTGCCCTCTCAAAAGAAAAATAGGGCTTCCCACTCCAAAATCACCAATACAACATGTTCCCTGGGTCAGGACTTTTAAAAGTGAGAAACCTTGATGGTTCTTAAATATTTGCAGGTGCTTGATCAGAAGTGCTGACTGCGAAACTATGAGGCATGGAAAAATAAGACTGAGGATACGATTTGGTACCAGTAACACTAGAGGAGAACAGTCATTAAGTCCCCCCGCTGCAGATGCTTACCATGTTCCAGAAAAACCACATCATGAATCACATCTGCCATCTCTGTATGTGATCTAGTCACATAGCAGTCAAAAAGAACAGACTATTCACATTTAACCAGGAAAGACAAAGATTAAAATCAAAATAATTGGTATAAAGTGGCATCTAAAAAAAAAAAAAAAAAAAAAACAACAAAAAAAACCCCAACATTGCTCCAACAATTTTGGGTTTGAAATGAAAACAAGTAAATTGATGTATTTAATCTCCTGACATAAAAGAGGATAATGATACATAAGACATTTTGCCCCAGAAACAAATTCAATGTAAGTGGATAAAATCCCAGATCCCACACCCTCTTGTAATACTTAAATATACTTTAGAGAATTGGTAGGAGAGGCAATTTGATGATTTGATTGAATTTTTGCTCTTCTTCAGTCCATCAATTCTACTGTGTCATGTAAAACTCAGATTTGAATTTGTGTAACTTTAAAAGTCACAAAGCCATGTCCCTAGCTGAAGGCTACATCAGTTAAGGAGTACTGCAAGATGAAGATGCAATAGCTACATGTCTGTTCTTCTTCTGGAAGAGAAGCTCCCATAGAGGGACCGCAGCAAACGACTATCAATTAAGCCCTCTTTGTAGACAAAGTTCTAAGTGTGAAGGTGACAATTATTGAGTCATTTCTCTCAGGGCTGAAAACTCTAGTTTGATTCTGGCATAATTAAGTTTCCTCTTCACAAACACAGAAAGAGAACAAGCGCAACAGCAGAAGTGAAGAAAAAAATGTGTATGCTACCACAAAGCTTTTTCAACATGCAGATACAAATTCCTGTGCCATTTTATAACTGTCAAGTCTTAATTAAAATACTACATTTCTCTGACTCATGGTGCTGTAGGATGCATGTATGTTATTCACATGAATATTAATCTCTTCCCAGCTAGGAAGCTGAATTGCTCAGGGGATTTATTATCACACCACATATGGAAAATTCTTGGGGGTTTTTCTTTTCTCTTCTTTCCTTTTCTTTCCTTTTTCTTTCACATGTCAGCCAGATCATTAACAATTAAGAGTCATAAGAACCATCTTGGTAGTCTGTGTGAGAGGAATCCAGCAGTTTGTATCAGCAAGCTGAAGCTCCGCATGTATTAATGAAATGATAGTGCACATGGAGGAAGGGGAACATGGAAAAGAGCTGAAGGCATCACTTTGAACATTAAGGACATATGCAGCTGCTCCAAGCACCAGAACAAAAGAGGAGGATAGTCCTCTTAAAAGCTTCTAAGTAATGACAGAAGATGGAAAGATGTTAATGGGGTGATCAGAGAACTGAGACACGACCTTTTCCAACTACCAACAGAATCACCTGGTTAGACTATCATCACAGGGACCTTCACAATCCTGATGCTTATCTGGATAATTTGTATTCATATCAGCAACTTTCAAACAAGATCTAGAAATGAGCTGATGATGCACAAGGTGCAGAAAGCACCTAGCATAGATGCTCTTCTGGATTGAGCAGAAGTACAGAGATAAATGAGGATGCAAATAGATCCAAGAAAACTGTGACAGTCTTCCTGATACCTTGGAAGGAAAGGAATTAAACAAGGTAGAAAAACACTATGCAATTCAAGAACACAAACTAATAAAAACTAATAAAAACTAATAAAAAAGTAATAAACTAGAGCTCATGAGAAACAGGCTTAAAGGACCAGGAGTTCAGGAAGCTGTTAACAGTTAATGAAATAGCATTAACACAAAAAAAGCACAAGTTATCCCAGTGAAGAAGAAGGAAAGGACGTACAATGAGAGACCTGTCCAAAGGAAAAATCACAAGCCCTTCAGAGGGCTTGAATCTCTAATTACAATTATCTTCTTATTGGAGTTTTTAAGAACAAGTGCGATTGTGACCAAAAAAAAGCTGCTATTCATAGGAAGGCAAAGCTATCATCAGGTGATGATGGAACATTTGATGCCTTAGTTGCTTCAGGTCTTCACTGTCAGGGAACTGAACTGCAGTCAGGCAGCTGACAGAATTAATATTGGTTTTTTAAGAAAAAAGGGAAAGGAAGTTTAGCAAGTTATAAGAAACAGGCTGCAGTAAAGTAAAACAAATTTAAAAGCAAAAAGATAAGGTAGTTATTTCTAAGTCAGCTGGTCCTGATAAATCTTCATCCTCAGGTACCAAGTTGTAACGCTGACAATCACAAAGCAGTAAGAATTTGAAAAACAGGCAATGCACTTGAAGATTTGAAAAGGGCAAAGCAAGCATTTATGCTTAAAAAATAGGAAGAGGAGGACTTGGATAATTATGAAAGCGCTAACTTGACTTTTTTCCCCTGCTCCTGGGAATTGAAGACTGGAACAAATAATCAAATTATTTGCAAATCTTCCAGAACATAAAAAGGAGAGAAATAACACCATGTTTTATCAAGAATAGAACTGTGTCAAATGCATTTAACTTCCTTCTATGACAAGGTGTATTAGTCTTAAGGGTAGGAGAAGAACAGTAGATGTTTTATATCCTGAGGTCTGGATGAAGCTGCCGAAATAGATGCAAACACGCTGGAAAAAAATTATACTCAGGGTAGCCAACCTCAAAGAGTGTATCACGCAGTGTCCCTCAGGCAGCTGTGGTAGCACACAGCCTGGCAGCTTGGGTACCACACAACTTTTTCACATACAACTTGAAGGATTTGTAGGCATAACAGATTAGGAAGAGACGCACAGCAATGTGCTTAGGGAGTGAAAAAAAACCCAACCAATTCTGTACAAACAAGTGCAAAGCCATATTCAGCTGTAATCCAACAGAAATATAGGCTGGGGAACAACTGACAAAGCCCTTCTTCAGAAGAAACCTCAGCTCTGGAAAAGATGAGAGGCCAAATATGCATCAGTGTTAGTCTGTGATAAAAAGGTACCATCACAGCAGGATACCCGATACCTTGGGATATCAGGATCACAGCCTGGAGAACAAAGTCTGTGTTGCTCTGTAGTGCACATGAGCAGGATCTCTGCTGGGCTTCTACATTCAGCTTTGGACACTGCACTTAAGAAAATGTAAGAAAAGTAGAGAAAAAGGGGAAAAAAAAAAGACAAAAAAAAAAGACAGGCTGATTAAAAAGTGCCTGAAAAAAACCTGACAAGAAAAGGCTAAAAGAAAATGGGTCATTCAGTGAACATGAGAAGAGCAAATGGGGCTTTTTCGTCTCTTTGCAGGAGCCCGTCACAGTTCCACAAAGGAAAGGAATCCATTCTGCTCCTTTACTACTTGCATGAGAAATAGATTTATACAGCAAAAGAGAGATCTAGAGCAGAGGTTAGAAAAAGCCTTTGGACAGCAAAGAGAGCTAAGCCCTGGAGCAGGCTGCTGGAAAGCTCCATCTCTTACAATTTTTTTGTTTTAAAGAAATTTTGGATCAGTAATTGCTGAGCGAGGTCAAAGAAAAGCAAATCATGACATTTTGTGGTTGTAACTAAACTAGTATTTCTGTAACAGTCATCTCAAAGCATGTCTTCCTCCCAATTCAGCAGAAACACAAAGATTGATGCTGAACCACCTCATGGACCTTGTACTCTCTCAGAAAAAGAACAGAGAGATACCCAGGGAGAGGCACTGCTTAATGTCTTGTCCCTTCTAGTACGCTCTAGCACTTGTTTTCCACAAAGCACAGAAGTAAACTATTTTGCTTCCATGCTCTACAAAACCACAACAAAAGTTCCTTTCCTTCTTAGAATTTCTTCGATTTCACTATCCATGTCATACTGACAGTTTTGACCCAAATCCCTGCTGCTCAGAAGTGAAGTAACACTGTAACTGTTAGATGAGAAAGAATTTACAAGATAAGCCAAAGTAAAAACTATTTCTGCTATGGCACTTCCAGATGCCTCCCAAAAGGAAAAAAAAAATCTAATTAAATAATTGTTTTCCTAAAAATTTGCAATAAAACCAGAAGAGAAAGAAAAGTCCTGCTACTGATAGACAGATACTGAAAAATAATTTCTTTATGAAAACAAAACAAGAGAGCTCTAGAAGAAAGCTGCATGTTGGGTAGTAGGCAATAGTTTATCATCTATAGAATATGAACACCATATGTTATCTTTCTGTGGACATACAGATGGATGAAAGCATAAGACTTTTTTATAAAAAAAAACACAACTTTTTGGGTCTTAATCGCTGTTTTCTAAAACAAGAGTGTTTATACTGCTGAAGAAAATGTCAAAAACCTTTTCCTTTTGACTTCCCAAATGAAGATTATTTATTTTTAAATCTTACTTTCATGAGATGGAAATACCACGAGTTATTATAACACCCACTTTCAATTAGTATATATAAAAATATTTGAGGTAAAGTTTCCCAAGGAACATTTTCACATGACAAATAATACAGATAACTCCTACTAAGATAACAAGCTATCCTCAAGTTGCCTTGAGAAAAAGTCTTCATGTCAAACTGTTTAACACAAAGCATTTAATTCCAGACATAACTATTACTATTTACACATTCAGAGCTAATTTCTGTGCTTATGCATCTTTTCTAATATTCATCCCTAGTTCCACACAACGATGCTCAAAATATTTGATAGAATTATATAGCTTTAAGACCACCATAACACGTTGCAGTCCTACACAATACATTTGATGAAATTTTTGTCTGCAAAACATCAAAACTTTAAGAGGTGTCTTACAAGAAAAGAAAAATGAAACCTTCAGCCACAGATCCAAAGCCCAGGCAGCATAGAGAAGGAGCGAAGCAATACTCCATCCTACCTCTTGAAGCTGCAGTCGAACTTTGCTAATGGCTCTAATCCAATGGGCTCTTGCTGGAGGAAATGGTGGTGGCTCGTTGTCACCATGGTAGCTTAAAAGCAAGAAACAGAAAATCACTATACGAAAAACACTCATCTGCAGCATTAAAGACTCAGTGTTACACAGTGCAATCACAGCTTCAACTCTGGAAGCTGAAATAGACAACAGGCTCCAGTCAACACAGCCCTGCATATGCCCTGGGAAGTAAAAGGCTAAAGCAGAGGTTTCCTCCTACAGAGGAACTGTCTTGGAAACTGATGAGCTGAAAAATATATAAGCCAGGATGCAAACCAACCCCAGGAGTAAGATGATTTTGGCCAGAACAACAGGAAAGCAGCCCAAGATACCTGATCAAGCCAGTTCAACACGTTGGCGTTGTAACTGCACAAAGAGACAGATGGAAGACTTTCCATCCACTCTTCCATGTCTGTTGCAGGTCTCTTCTAATCACTGCCTCTTCCTACTCATCCCTACTGCTACAAATGTACAGCCCCTCTTCAGTGGAAACACTGGGTTCAGCGGTGTTTTTCACCACTGATGGCACTTTTCTCACTCCACCCTTTCCTACACCTTTTCCAGAGGGCATGTGCCTCTGGCAGCAATGCCCCATCTCAGTGCCCCACAGCACATTTTACCTTCCCTAATATCATGACACCTTGGGCCTTGGGTTGCATTCCTTCTTTCATATGTTGCTAAAGTGTAGATCACTGAAAAAACATCTTTCCCTGTCTGAAAAGCACCCTGTACTGCTGACAGTATAAAAAAAAAAAAAACATAGCTGGAAGCAACACGTATCCATGCTACACATCTAGCTCAGGTGCAGCTCCAAGGATCAATGTTCAGAACTCAGTCCTATGCATACTCCATGGACACAGGAAGGCACTGCCAGATAGGGGAGAGAACGGGAGCCAGTGATGCAGGAGTATCCAAGTCAGATGCCTAAATTAGCCCAAAATAGACTATGTGAATAACCTTCCCTGAGAACAAATATAGGCCAGCCATTCTGGGACAAGACTCCTGCTGCTCTGTAAGGAGAAGAGGAAAGTGACTCAGAGTTTATAAACAGTTTAATGCTTTTTCGAGTCTTGCCTTTTCTTTTTTCATCTTTAGTGTAAGGGTTGCCTACACATGAACTGCTGTGGTTAATTCTCTCATATAAGCACAGTGACACCAGCTGTACACTTCAAAGGGTACAGACAGGCAGACATCTTTCCAGGGACCTAACTGAACCAGAGGAAAACAATCCCTTATACTTATGAAAGTATAACCATACCTACAATAGGAGCTGCAATGACTTGACCACCTCAAGGAAAAAAAGTCACTCCCAAAGTTAAGCAGTGAAGTTTGAAATTCCTGTAAAACCTGTACAAAACCCAGCACATGACTCCCCCAAACTTAGCTGAAATACTCTTAAAGACTGTTCTCAATGCTGCTGACAGCTTGGAAAGCCCAAGCGCAAGGACAAGAAAAGCTGCCACAAGTGAGTCAGAGCAACATGTCTATTCAAAACTGGAATTCTACAACCTACAACTACATAAACACTAAAAGTGGTAGCCTACTACACAAGAAAGGAACTAGTACAGCTCTAACCACGACGAGATGTAGTTCTTGGTTGCTCACACGTAAACTTGATCACATATGGGTAATGGCAGCAGCTGTCTTTGGGCCGGACTACATTCATCAGAAACAGAAAATGCAGCAAATGAGCTTCAAGGCGCTAGCAGGCATTCCTCTTTACACACATAGCAAGCATAGTTTAAGCTTAGCCAATGTCTCATAAATAACTGGTCCTGTACGTAAAGATGTTTCACAGATCAGCAACATCAAAGTTAGTTGTTAGAGAAGACTGTAAAAACAACTACATAATTTGCCCCAGGGAATAGTAAAGGGAGGAATCCTTTTTGAATCAGTTGAGAAGAACTCAGTAATAGTTTCACCTACCTCACTTGGGCTCCTGCATCAACATCCTTGGGCTTCTCAAGTTCCAGGGGTAACGTGGCTGCAGGACGGTCTGCACGTTTCTCCTCTGTCTGGCAGACCTTATTCTCCTCCTCTCCTTTGCCACAAGGCTCCTCTTGCTCCCTGAGCCACGCCTGACCATTCTTCTGGTAGCTGCCCGAACTGTGGTAGGAATGAATCGACTCTCTCTCCTGGTGATCATCTTCTTGCTCAGAGCCGTGGGCACTTTCATGGGAATGCTCCAGCTCACTTAGGTGAGAGCTTCCCTGGCTGACATTACAAGAGGAGCCATATCTACTACTGCCAGCAGGACTATGAGAAAATAAAAAAAATCCATCAGAAAAAACAGTGGCTTGGGGAAACACAAAGCAATCTGCACACGTAACAATCTGGACTCTAAGTATTACTGAAAAAACGTGTTGTGAGGTAATATTTAACTATTATTTTCCCTGAACTAGATCTAGACTTCTGAAGCTGAAAACTTTGGTAGGCAGCAGATATACTTCATACACAGCCAACCAGTATATAGACCATACATACCAACGGTCTTTCTTGCACCAACTGACTACTTCTTCACCTTACATCAGCTGGAAACTGCCAGTGAAGATATTCTAATAACCATACAGGAATAAGAATGGAAACATAGCAATTCAGAGTGGAAGTGCTCCTGTCTTCTGCAGTTTCACTGCAGCTAAGGTCTTTACCATGACTGTTGAAGCAGATTATTGTTAAGAAGTACAGTTAACTTAAAGTTAACTTTATTTTTATATATATTATACATTTATTATAAGATACATTGAAGTCAAGATTAAGTTGTCAAGACTATCAACTTAAAATCTTTTACAAAAGAATCGTTCAAAGGGAAGCAGTATGTCTCACTCCAATAGAGTTTTTTCAATAATTTAATTTACATAAAAAACCCAATGCCATAGGGGTGTGATCTCTGTGATTCAAGACACCACTTCCAGGACTGAATTCCTAGAATCCTCACACAAAATACAGTGGATGGATATTTCTCATGCAGACAGGAAAACTACAGCCAAGTATTAAGCAGCACTAATGTTTCTCTCACTTGCACACTTCTGACAATTTGGAGCCAGATGGGAAATTTTGGAAGTGCAGTGTTGCAACTGTGTGATCAGAGGCACAAGTTCCACTTGTGTCACACAGAGACATAAGTTTAATGGTTCTCTGTTTTGATTTTTGAGAGCAATTGTAACTTAACGCATGCACAGGACTGAATACAGACTCATGAAATACTGATACCTTCCTTTAGTGGCTTTCCTAACTGCATGAGATAACCTCTGCACATAGGAAAAGCAAGCATTAGAATACCTTCACTGGTATCTCTGAAAATGTTTTAAAATCCTCAATAATGTGAAATGAACCTATTTAGCTCTATAATACATCAGCCGTAAGTTAAATTTTTCTCTAAAATTAAAAGTCTTTACCTTACATTTTGAAAACAAAATGCTCTTTCATTCCAATACATTCTACCTAGTGTTACCTTTTTTCTAACATATAGAAAGTAATTACCACTAAACAAGAAAGCGAAGTGAATTGTATGCATCAGAATTAACACATAAAGAATATAACTTCTGAAAAGCTAATGAAATTAGCACTAGAAGCATCTCATTCATTGGGACACAGTGTAAGAACATGTGAAATCCAATCACACAGGAAAAAGAGTAGGAAAAGGTGAGCAAATGGTCTAAGGGCTTGTACATAACTAGGGACTACCATTTGCCACATTCTCTGTGACAATTATCAGAAATGCTACAAACACTTTACAATAAGTAGGGGATGGTACTGAGCTACAAATATCAGACACCAAGGCAAATATCTACTGCTGCAGTATTGCATTATAAATGGCCAAAAGACTTGAAACCATTTATTATGCCTCATTTGTAACTAGCCTTTTCTCATTCAGTTGTTCCACACTATTCAGATCTGCAGCCTGTGCGCTGGGATGAAGCGCTGCTCCAGTAGGAGCAGAATCAAGCTCCGTTTCTTTCAGTTCAGGCTCATCTGGTGCATGATCTTCTGCCCCATCTTCTTTCTGCAGTTCACCCGAAATCACGTTCTGCTGATCTTCTGACTTTTTATCAAGCTTCTCTCCCAGCTCTTTGTTGGATGTATCATCAACAGCGCTTGCACCAGATGGTTCTTCGGAAAGTTCATTGTCTACAGTGTCAGGCTGCTTTGAAGACAAGTTTACTTCTATATTTGCATCAGTCAGTTGATCTGAGACTGCAGATTTTGAGTTTTCATCTGAACTGACTGTTCCTAACACCTTGTCATCTGGTTTTGACAAAGCCTGTGGTGGTATATGTGGTTCCCTTTTGGCAGAGGTCTCCCTGTTGTCTTTTTGCCAGGGAAAAGAGAAATCTAGCTTTTTCCCAAATACTGCTCCTTGGGCACTCTCTGGCTTACTCACCTTTTCTTCACTACCTCCTTCAAACAGAGTGGAAGAAAGTTTCTTAAAGCTGGACATGAGACCCTGATCTGCCCCTGCTTTAGTACCAGAAGGTGGCTGCTGGGAGAAGAATGATCCAAATGGCTTTCCACTATCAGCAGATGACATAAAGCTGAATTTTGGCAAATTGGGTATGCTTGGTATTTCAAAGACTGGTTTACTACTGTTTGCATCTGGAGGAACGTCATTAGGTTTACCTTGTTTCTTCAAGTCAGATTTGGAAGATACCCCTTCTGCAGGCACCTCATCAATTGCTAAATGTTTCTGCTGTTCAGCAGTTTGCTGTTCTACCTCACTTGTCTTCTCTTCATTTGGCTGGAGCAGATGAACATCGGGCTCATCAGCTGGAGCTGTGGGCTCCTTGCCACTACCACTGATCACGTCCTGCTGATCAACACCAGCGTTGGCCTGATCCCCTGTAAGAGCAGGCTCTGATTCAAGTGTAGCACTCTCGTCTAAATGGGAAAGGTTTGTGTCTGCCCCCGTAGCTGGGGTTCCTATTTCCAGTTCGAGCCCATCAGCAGAGCTAGTCTGAAGGACGTCAACAGCTGCCTTCTCTGTAGAAGCAGTTTGCTCCTCTGTTACATGTGAAGACTCCACATCTAGTTGGCATGCATTTACATCAGTCTGGTCGGTGGTCTCAGCCTGCACTGCCTCAACTGTTTTACTGAAAGCAGACTGCTGTGGCTTAGTATCTGCTGTCTCAGAAGGCTGTGCATTGTTATCCAACTGCAGAACCTCGAGGGCTTGATTTTCACTAGAGACCGCTGTCTCTGGAGTGATCCTCAAAGGTTCCTCTTTGCAGGTTTCCAAGTTCCTATTTTCCTCAGTTTCTGTTTTCACAGGAGACTCTTTTGTGGAGTTTTCTTCTGCTGAAACAGGTAATACATCCTGCTTCTGAGAGCTCGAGATGTCTCTTTTAGTCTCTCTAGCTGCAGCTGTATTTTCTGTCTCCCTAGAGGCCTTTCCTGGAACAGACCCAGTGACAACTTTCACGCTACCGCTTTGAGGCTTAGGGGTGGATTTTGGAGGCATCTGTTTTGGAGGTTCTTTTGGACCTTTGAAGATGCCAAACAGATCATTTGTGAAAGCTGGTGCTGGGCCACTTGGGAGGGATGAGAAACCAAAGAAAGAGGAGCTTTTCTTCTGTGCAGTAGGAGGTGCAGTAGCTTGAGGTTGGGAAAAGAAACCAGATAATGTTTTAGTTGGTTTCATTTTTGTCATGAAACTTGAAAACATTTCAACTGAAGAATCCAGTACTGATTTATCACCCTCAGGTTCCTTAGGTTTGTTTTGCAAATTAGATGCCTCTGGCATTTTAGGAGAGCATAGCTCTTGTGCCTGTTGTAACCTGTCACCAAGAGTTTGCTCGGGCAATTTACATTCTGGCAACTCAGGCTGTACACATACTTCTTCAGACACCACTTCATTTTTAATGTCACTCATAATATTTAAGTCATTTAGACTCGGGGAATCTATTTTATCCATACTATAATCTTTCTTTTCAGAAGCTTGTTCTTTTGAAGAATAAGGCTCTTCTTTGTCAATAGCAAGTGCAACACTGTCCATTTTCCCCTTGCTATCCAAAGCATCTTCTTCTGCCCCTAGGGAAGTGGGCTGCTGGCCCTGAGAACCCTCTTGCACACTGGGAGTCTGAAGGCAAGGACCAGAAGAAGCCGCATCAGTTACTGTAGTGTCATCAGTCTGTGGAACCTTCTCTAAGTCACTCCCTCCAGCTACCACAGCAACGCTTTCTACATTATCCACTGCCAGCGTTTCTGATTTATTTTCTGGGATTGTGACATTATTAGACATCTTTTTGCCAGTCACTGCTGCAATAATATCGTCAACTTCTTTTTTATTGTCTGTATCTTGTGGCCTGGCAGAACTGTTGGTTTTAACAACAGGGTCAGTGGAAATATTTTGCTTTGCATATGGCTTAGAGTTCACTGGTTTAGCTGGTTTTGTATTATTCTCCTGTCCTGGAGCAGTTTGTGGCTTTTCATCCAAAAAGGATGTCAAATTGAAGAAGCTAAAGCTAGTACTTCTTTGAGGTACGCTCTTCTCAGCAGTTGGACCGCTGGAGAAGAATGAGGGCAGATGAAACAGCCCTTCTGTTTCTTGCTGCTTCCCACTAGCAGGAGCTGGAGCAGGTGCTGAAGGTTTTGGTTCCTCTGATCCAGTGAAGAAGGAGAATATACTCCTACTGGCCGGCTGTGCTGGCTGTGATTTCGAAGCAGTGATATCAGAAAAGCTGAACGGCAAACTGAAACCCGACTCTTTAGGTGCCTGATCTGGCTTTAGTTTTGCCTGATTAGCTGTGCCTCCTAAACGACTTCCTCCTTGTGGCTTTGGTGTAACCATGGGTACGCTGCTTTGCTGCACAGCTGACTGACTCAATTGGCTTATTTTGGGACCTGCACCCATTGGCTTCTGTGAAGCATTTCCAAGAGGCACTTTTTTACTCTCAGAAGTCTCCTCCTGAGCTTTTCTGCTTCGTTGTTCCATTTGCGTCCCAGGGCTAGGAGAGACCTGTCTGTCTCTGCCTTCTGTTCTCACCCCTTCCTTAGGGGTGGAGGACAGACATGGCATACTGGCACTCTGAAGACCCCCGGACTTCTCAGTTTGCTGCCTTGACTCAGCCACTGTTCTGCTCTTGGTTTTTGGCAGAGTCGTAGTACTTGAGGTTGGTTGAGAAGGAACAGCCTCCACTTTGAAGAGATCTCCAAGGGATCCAAATAATGATGAGATGCCGGAGGTTTCCTTCTGTTCCGGCTTTTCTGGTTTATCACTTAGACTTTTTTCCAAATCTGGTGATGGCTGTGGTGCTTTGCTT